TTGGTAGCTGCCTTCTTGCTCGTGTGTGTGTGTGTGTGTGTGTGTGTGTGTGTGTATGTGTGTTTTTGGGGGGTGATGACTAGGCCTCATCTAAGATCTATATTGACCTAAGCAGTTAACTCAGATTCCAGACTCCTTTGATTTCTTTTTCCTTTCTCTGATCTTGCCTCTTCTTGTCCTTCATTTCCACCCCCAGATCAGAGGTCATTTGCCTTTTGCCAATCAACCATCCACCCCCACAGGCCATTTTCTTCTGGACAGAGGTAGGCAACGCCTTAGCTCCTTGATTTCCACCTGGGGCCAAGGGATTCCATCGGACCATTGACTACCAGCCTCCTGAAGGTGATGGAGATGCGGAACCTTCTCCACTTCCTGGGGGAATCCTCTCCTCCACCTCTGCCCAGCCCCCTCAGACCCCCTGTAACTTGATTTACATAGTCCCTTCTCACAGCCTTTTGGTGGATCTGTAAGGTTTTCTGTAGGCTCCGGTGGCTCACGCCTATCATCCTAGCTACTCAGGAGCTCAGGAGGCTGAGATCTGAGGATCATTGCTTGAGGTCAACCTTGGCAGGAAAGTCTGTGAGACTCTTATCTCCAATAAAACACCAGAGAACTGGAAGTGGCACTGTGGTTCCAGTAGCAGAGCGCTCGCCTTGACAAGCACAAAGAGGTTCACAGACGGTGCCTAGGCCCTGAGTTCAAGCCCCACAACTAACAAAAACCCAAAATGATCTCTCTGGCAACCCTGGTGCTGTCCTGAGCCAGAGACCTTCTTTGCCTAGGAGACTCTCATGCACCACGGTTGGCAGAAAATTCATTCATTCATTAATTTACAACCCCACCGATCGGGATGGACGTAGTGGCTAGGATGGGTGTCAGGGTAGCCAGGAGTGTGGAGCTCAAGTCCTCTACGATGAAAGGTCATCAGCTCAGGCCGTGGGGGACTTTTAATAGTTAGCTGACTCGGTCATCATCCTGCAGCAGTGCTACTACAGAACCTAGGGGGCCTCGATGTGCAGGGGAAAAAAAAACACCTCTGGATGTCAGGAAAAAAAATGGGAGGGTGGGGACAATTCATCCTGTACCTGAAGGAAGAGTGCTGCTTCCCTGTAAAACAATTGGGGGAAGGCAGGGATCCCACAATTCCAGAACTGATGGGAACACAGGAGACACAAACACCCGGAGCCAGTGGGGAGAGGGACGGGGCGGGGCCGTCTGGCCTCTAATTTTTATTTTTGTAGTTTTGCTTTTTAATCAGTCGTGGGGTTTGAACTCTGGGCCTGGGCGCTGTCCCTGCGCTCTTCAGCTCAAGGCGAGCGCTCTACCACTGGAACCACAGTGCCACTTCCAGTTTTCTGGTGGTTCATAAGAGTCTCATAGACCTTCCTGCCCGGGCTGGCTTGGAACCGTGATCCTCAGATCTCAGCCTCCTGAGTAGCTAGGATGTCAGGCGTGAGCCACAGGCACCGGGCTCTACCTTGCATTCTTTACTTCCTTGAAGACGTTTCCTGATGATCCATCTCTCTAGCCGGATATCCACCTAGCATGACACCCCTCATCTTTTTTGGGGGGGAGGGGAGCTTGAACTCTGGGCCTGGGCGCTGTCCCTCAGCTCTTCAGCTCAAGGCTAGCACTCTACCACTTGAGCTATAGCACCACTTCTGGCTTTTTTTTTTTTTTTTTTTGCTTATGTGGTGCTGAGGAATTGAACCCAGGGCCTCATGCATTCAAGGCATGCGCTCTACCACTGAGCCACCTTCCCAGCACCCCTCATCTTTTTATTACCCCTTCAAGGTCTCAGATGATGGCAATGTTGTGTCCTGAGATGCATCTGCTGGGTAAAAACCTGAACCCTGACCTTTTCTCAGAAAAGGACTTGCTGTTGAGATGCATCTGCTGGGTAAAAACCTGAACCCTGACCTTTTCTCAGAAAAGGACTTGCTGTGCGAACTCAGAAAGGCATGAGCAAAACCTACGGCCCTCCCTGCCAATGGCAGCAAGTTTCCTGTTCCTGGCTTATCTAAACCATCCCTTGCCGGGCACTAGTGGCTCATGCCTGTAATCCTAGCTACTCAGGAGGCTGAGATTTGAGGATACTGGTTCAAAGCCAGCCCAGGCAGGAAAGTCTGTGAGACTCTTATCTCTGATAAGCCACTCAGCAAACCAGAAGTGGTATTGTGGTTCCAGTGGTAGAGAGCTCATCTTGAGCTGAAGAGCTGAGGGACAGCGCCCAGGCCCAGAGTTCAAAGCCTCATGACTGACAAAACAAACAAAAACACCGGAAGTGGCTCTGTGACTCAACTGTTGAGCACTAGCCAGGAGCTGAAGAGCTGAGGGACATAAAACAAAAAACAAAAAACCCAAGCCAGGCACTGGTGGCTCTGCCTGTCATCCTAGCTACCAAGGAGGCTGAGATGTGAGGATTGCAGTTCAAAGCCAGCCTGGGCAGGAAAATCAATGAGACTCTTATCTCCAATAAACCACTAGTTCAGTAAACCACAGAGTTCAAGCCCATGACCAACAACAACAACAAAAAGAGTCTTATAGACTTTGCTGCCTGGGTTGGCTTCGAACCTCGACCCTCCAGATCTCAGCCTCCTGAATAGCCAGGATTATAGGCAGGAGGTCTCAGAGTTCCAGGGCCCACATTGTAAGATCCTATCTCAAAAATAAAGTGCTGCTCTGGAGGCTGAGACATGAGGACTGTGGTTCAGAGCCAGCCCAGGCAGCTGTGAAACTCTTATATCCAATGAACCACCAGAAAACCAGAAGTGGAGCTGTGGCTCAAAGTGGTAGAATGCTCTAGCCCTGAGCAAAAAGAGCTCAGGGACAGCATCTAGGCCCTGAGTTCTAGCCCCAGGACCACCACTACCAACAACAAAAGCCTTGCATTGGTAGCCCATTCCTGTGATCCTAGCTACTTGGGAGGCTGTGATTTAAGGATCCCAGTTCAAAGCCAGCCTAGGGAGCGAAATCACATGACTCAAGCTTGGCCAATGGGAATGAGCCATCAGCCATGTTGAAATGAAGCAGAAGGACTTGGAGGGCTGAGGTGGGTAATGAAAGAGCCTTGATGGTTGCCTGGGGGGGCGGAGGGTGGGGGGAGGAGGACGGCCAAGAATGAAGCCAACACAGCAAAGCTGAGCACAGATCTGGTCCTGATGGTAATCATTCTGGTCCCGGATACAGCCGTGCTTGAAGCCAGCCCCAATTTCCTACATATTTAGTCCAGGTACATAGGACAGGGGTGGTGGCGTACACCTGTAATCCCAGCACTGGGGAGGCTGGGAATGGAAGATGGAGAGTGAGAGGGCAGATTGGGCTATCTTGTGACACTGGAAAAAAAAAAAAAAAGCTGGGAAGGTGGCTCAGGGGTAGAGTGCTTACTAGCACGCAGGAAGCCCTGGGTTTGATTCCTCAGTACCTCATACACAGAAAAAGCCAGAAGTGGTGCTATGGCTCAAGTGGTAGAGTGCCAGCCTTGAGCAAAAGAAGCTCAGGGACAGCGCCCAGGCCCTGAGTTCAAGCCCCAGGATTGGCTAAAGAAAAAAAGTATGGGTTCAAGAATGAGGTAATGCAGAGAAATGGGGCCCCAGGATATGTATGTGTGTGTGTGTGACAAGGACTTGAACTCAGGGCCTAGGCCCTGAGTTTTTTCACTCAATACTGGTGCTCTACCACTTGAACCATAGCTCCATTTCAGGTTTTTTGCTGGTTCATTCTCAATAAGAGTCTCACAGACTTTCCTGCCTGGGCCGGCTTTGAACCATGATCCTCAAATCTCAGTCCCCTGACTAGGGAGGATTAAAGGTGTGAGTCACCAGCCACCAGGATTACTTATTTTTGCATTGCTTTTTTTTTTTCCTCTTTGGATACAGGGTCCCACTATGCTGGCCTTGTACTCCTGAGCTCAGAAAATCCTCCCCCGCTTTGACTCACAAGTAGCTGGGACTTACCCACTTTGCTTTTTCCTTTCATTGTTTGGTCTCCTTGAGACAAGGTGTCCAAGCGCAGCCCCAGGTGGCCTAGAACTGGAGATCTTTCTTCCTCAGACTCCTGAGAGCTGGGATTACAGGCAGGAGCCACACAGTGCCCTAGCAGCATCTGGCTTCTGAAAATGAAGTTGTGTTTTCAAATGTATTAAGATGGTGACACAGGCCTTGCATTACCAGCGCTGGGCAGGAAGATCCTGAGTTCCAGGACAGCCAGACTGTGTCAAAAAGAAAAAAAGAAGGAAGGAGGATGACCTTGTCTAAAAATAAATGTGCTTTCCACCTGACTTCCGTAACTGGCCCCTCCAAAGCTCACCTTTCCAGCAACAATGGAGACAAAAAGGAAACAAAGGAAGGAAGCTTTTATTCCTGCCAGACCTGGGGCTTGAACTCGAGGCCTGGGGCCTGTCCCTTGGCTTCTTCCCTTAAGGCTCTGCACGTCTACCTCTCCTTGGAGATAAAAAAAGAGTCTCAAGGACTTTCCTTCCCGGGGCTGGCTTCGAACTGCGATCCTCCGATCTCGGCCTCCTGAGCAGCTGGGGGGCCTGGCTTTCCTCCAAGGCCCGGCCTGCCTGGGGCTTGGCTCGGGTCCCGGCTCCACACCAGGCCTGGTCGGGGGCTGGATGGATGTGAGGGTGCAGGTGGGGCGCCCCGCGGGGGGCGGGGCCGGGGTCACTCCCCCCCTCCCCCCCGTCGGGGGGCGGGGCGCACGCCAAGGTCACAGCACAGGCGGGCGGCGTGGGGGGGGGAGCGGCGCCCGGCGCGCACGCGCGTTCCCCCTCGGCGGCGCGCACGCGCGTTCCCCCCTCACCCCGGCGGCGGCGCGCACGCGCGTTCCCCCCTCACCCCGGCGGCGGCGCGCACGCGCGGTCTCTCCCCGGCGGCGCGCACGCGCGGTCTCTCCCCGGCGGCGCGCACGCGCGTTCCCCCGCCCCCCTCGGCGGCGCGCGCGCGCGCAGCAGCGGCAGCGGCGGCGGCGGCGGCGCGGCGGCGGCGGCAGGTGGAGCCCGAGCGTCCGCAGCAGCCGAGCCGCGGCCTCCGCCGGCGTCGCCGCCATTAGACAATAGGAGCGGGCGGGCGGGCGGCGGGCGGGGCGCGGGGCGCGCCGGGGCCGGGCGCGGGAGGGGGCGCAGCGAGCGGCCCCCGGAGCTGCCGATCGGCGCCGGGACAAAGGCGCGGCCGCCCGGCGCCCCGAACAGCCCGAGTCGGGGCGCGCAGTCGGGGCGCAGCCCGCGCCCCCCGCCGCGACTGACATGATGTTTCCACAAAGCAGGCATTCGGTAAGCGGGGCCCCGGGCCTGCCCCCCACCCCCGGCCTGCGCCCCGGCCCGGCCTGCGCCCCGAATCCGGCCCTGCGCCCCGAATCCGGCCTGCGCCCCGGCCCGGCCCCGCATCCGGCCCCGCGCCCCGAATCCGGCCTGCGCCCCGAATCTGGCCCTGCGCCCCGGCCCGGCCTGCGCCCCGAATCCGGCCTGCCTCCCACCCCCGGTCTGCGCCCCGGCCCGGCCTGCGCCCCGGCCCGGCCTGCGCCCCGAATCCGGCCCTGCGCCCCGGCCCGGCCTGCGCCCCGAATCCGGCCCTGCGCCCCGAATCCGGCCTGCCCCCCACCCCCGGCCTGCGCCCCGGCCCGGCCTGCGCCCCCGCCAGCCACGCACCCCGATCCCGGGCCGCACACCCTCACTCCGGGCCCCGCGTTTCCAGTTCTCGGCCGTGCCCCGAGACCCCCCTCCGCCCCCCGAACCCCCGGCCGGTTCCTCATCCGGCTCCAGGCCCCCCCCCCGGCCCCGGGCCTCGCCGCGCGCCGCCCGGCCTCGGGCCTGGGCGCCCCGGGACCCCGCCAGGCCTTGCTGGGGCGGAGCAGGACTGGGGGCGCTGGAGTGTGTGTGGGGGCGATCCGAGGGCCCCCCGCGAGCCCGACCCGGAGTCGGACTCCCTCCCCGCACCCCGGAAGGTTTGGGGTGCTGAGCAAGGCGCTTGCCACCAAGGGGTTCGCCAGGGCCCACGGAGGGTGGGGGGGCTGGCTAAGGGCCCCCCCCAGCGCGGCCTACTTCGCACCCCAGCCCCGGAGGCCCCGGCAGGGCGCGGTGGGAGGGCGGAGGCGGGCGGGGCGCCCCGGGCGGTAAACAGCGGCCCAGGAAGTGGGGCGCGGGGAGGGGCGCCCGGCGGGGGGGAGGGGGCCCGCTGACCCCCCCCCCCCTCCCGCCACAGGGCTCCTCGCACCTCCCCCAGCAGCTCAAGTTCACCACCTCCGACTCCTGCGACCGCATCAAGGACGAGTTCCAGCTGCTGCAGGCCCAGTACCACAGGTGAGCCGGGGCCGGGCGCAGGGCCGGGGCTCCCCTCCACACAAGGCCTTGCAAAAGATCCGGACCCCACGTGCACCTTCTGGAAGCAGGTAAAAAGGTAGACAGAGTGGAGGGCCGGGCGCCGGCGCTCACAGCTGTAATCCCAGCCACGAGGAGGCAGGGACCCCCAGGCTGGAGGCCAGCCCTGGGCAAAAACCTGGAGAGACCCCCTCATCTCACGCAGCAAAGAGCGGCAGCTCATACCGAAAAGGGGCCCGTAGGTCGGAGGGTCACCAGCAGGCCACCTTGCAAAAAAAGGCAAGATGTTACACAAATAGAACAAGGGCCGGGGCCCCCAAAGGTGACAAACCCTGCTTCCCTGTTTGCCCAGTGTGGGGGGAAGGGTTACAGACCCTCTGGGTGCTGGAAGGAAAATTGTCCCTGATCCCCGAGAGGTTAGGGAATTCCTGTGGATGCACAGCAGGACCAGACCAGAGCCTGGGCCCCCCCCCCAGGGTCGTCTCCCCCCCCCCCCCCCCCGTTTCGGAATGCAAGTCCAGGGTGTGGGGGAAGGGGGTTTCCCCAAGGAGAAAGGGCATCCACATCCTATGGGGGTGTTTTCAAGTACTAAGAATGTGCTTTAGTTTCCTAACACTTCCTTTGGGGGATTTACTTGTTTTATCAATTGTTTTGTTCAGGGGACTTGAATTCAGGGCCTTAGCTGGCCCTGAACTTTTTTTTTAATGTATGTTCAAGGCTGGTGCTCTACCACTGAGCCACCGTGGTAGAAAGCGGTAGCCACTTCTTGGCTCTTTGGGGGTTCGTTGGAGATCAGTCTCACAGGGACTTTCCTGCCCGGGCTGGCTTTGAACTACAATCCTATCCTCCTATCTCAGCCTCCTGAGTAGCTGGGATGACAGGCGGGAGCCACCTGCTGCCTGGCTCTTTTTTTTTTTTTTTTTGAGACTATTTTAAAGATGTAGAAACTCAAGAGACTGATAAATGAGGCCCCTGGACCCTGATTCCCACCCCCTGCTGTGGAAGCTTCTAGGCTTTGTCCTGGCAGGCCCCTGGCTCCTTGCCCACTTCCTGCTAAGCCCCATGGTTGTCCTGTTCTGGCTTCACTGACCACACGCTGCTGTGTGACCTCCGGGAACAAATCACCTCTCTGATCTCTGAGCCTTGGCATCTCTCCCTTTGGGAGCTTCCCACTGAGTGAAAAAAGGGGGTCCCAAAGATTCAGGGGAACACAAGAGAGGTCTTGACAGGGCCAGGGCAGCCAGGGTATTGTTAAAGTAAGACCCGAATTCCACAACATGGAAGTGAAATCGTCTTTTTTGTTGTTGCTCTTCCCGTCCTAGTAGTGAAACTTGGTACACACGCATGCACACACGTTACAAACTCAGTAAGCACTCACGGTGAGGGTTTTTTATTGTTGTTGTTTAGTTTTTTTGGAGCAGATATGTCAGCCCTGGGTCTTGAACTCAGGTCCTGGGCACTGTCTCTGAGCTTTTTTTATGCTCAAGGCAAGTGGCTACTACTTGAGCCACAGCATCACTTCCAGCTCTCCTGCTTGGGCTGGCTTTGAACTGAGATCCTCAGATCTCAGTCTTCTGAGTAGCTGGGATGACAGGTGGGAGCCACTGGTGCCTGGCTTCAAAACCAAAACCAAATTTAATGATAGTAGATGGAAAAAATCACCCCAACTCTAGCTCCCTGCCCTGTGGGAGAGTGAACGGACAGGCTTCTGAGGTGTGGAGTCGCACAGAGAGGTGGAGAGGATCTGGTGAGGGACACACAGCCCGGAAAAAGCAGGCTGGAGCTTTGAACCCTGGAGAGGACAGGGTCATGGGGTTTCCTGCAGTTAGTGAAGGAAGATTGTTATGGAAGAGTCCCTAGAGGGGGGGAGGGTGCCTCTCCCCAGTTTTAAACTCCTCCACTAGAGAAATCAAGCCTCCCTTTTCCGAAACCCAGTGGAGCCAGGACTCCTTAGGGAGTCCAGCCCAGAGGTGAACCTCACAGACCCGAGCTGCTGTTTCTATTTGTGTCTGAGCACTGAGGTTGTTTCCGGGCTGTGTGACCTTGAGTCACCTACTTGCCCTCTCTGAACGTCTATTGCGTCACCAGGGAATGAGCATGTGAGCCCTCTCTCTCTCTCTCTGCTGACGTCCTTGGCGGTTGGGAGAGCGCCTGTACTGCCTACCAGAACTTTTTTTTCTTTTTTTTTTTTTTTGTCGGTTGTGGGGCCTGAACTCTGGGCCTGGGCACTGTCCCTCAGCTTTTCAGCTCAAGGCGAGCGCTCTACCACTTGAGCCACAGCGCCACTTCCGGCTTTTTTTCTGCTTATGTGGTGCTGAGGAATTGAACCCAGGGCCTCATGCGTGCGAGGCAAGCGCTCTACCACTGCGCCACCTTCCCAGCCCTACCAGAACTTCTGTTAACCAACTTTCTTGCTTTCTCCAAATGATCTCCAAGCGTGTGGGCTTTTCTTCTTTTCTTTTTTCTTTTGTCAGTTGTGGGGCTTGAACTCAGGGCCTGGGCGCTGTCCCTGAGCTTTTGGTCAAGGTTGAACTCTGCCACTTTAGGCCACAGTATCACTTCTGGCTTTTTGCTGATTAATTTGAGATAGGAGTCTCATGGACTTTCCTGCCCGGGCTGGCTTTGAACCGCGATCCTCAGATCTCAGCCTCCTGAGTAGCCAGGATGACAGGCGTGAGCCACTGGCGCCTGGCTTGGGTTCTTCATCATCATCATCATGTTTCATACCCCGTAATACAGTGAGGAAACCTGCCCAGTTACATGGTGTGTGCTCCCATTAATGTGGCTCGTTCCGTGCCAGGTCTCACACCCATAACCTCAGCTACTCAGGAGGCTGGGATCTGAGGATCTCGGTTCAAAGCCAAGCCTGAGCAGGATAGTCCTTGACTTAGCGCCAATGAACCAGTGCAAAGCCAGAAGTGGAGCCGTTGGCTCAAGTAGTCAAATGCCAGCCTTAAGTGAAAAGGCTAAATGAGCGTGGGAGACCTTGAGTCCAAGCCCCAGTACTGGCACAAGAAGGAAGGGGGCAAAAAGTCACGCTGGAGGCATGGCTCAGGTGGTAGAGCACCATTCATGAGCAAGGATTAACCCAGCACGTGCAAGGGGCCCTGAGTTCAAACCTCCATACCTCAAACACAAGATATATCTTGTGTCCATCTTGGCTCCCTAAGGCGGGGGGGGGGGGGGGGGGGATGACTTGCCTTGGCTTGTGGGGAGCGGGAAACCCCAACCTGCTGGCTGATCTGTGTCTTCCCCTCGGCCTTCCCCAGCCTGAAGCTAGAATGTGACAAGCTGGCCAGCGAGAAGTCGGAGATGCAGCGACACTATGTCATGGTGAGACCCTGGGGGGCCTGGGGGGGGGGACCCCGGCCACCACCGCCACTTGGCCCAGCTGCCCACACCCAGGCCGAGGTGGTTGAGGTACCAAAGCGAACAGCCGGCTGCCCGCTGTGAGCCACTGGGGGGCGGGAGCAGGGGCTGGGATGTCACAGCCAGGAACGGGGAGGGGAGGGGAGGGGAGGGAGCCGTGGGCTGCTTCTGGGCCTGAGTGCAGCTTAGCCCTGCTTGCCAGGCCACGCTGGGCCTCCCTTGGGCCTCCTCCAGCCCCAGGGTCTGGCCTCTGTGTTTTTGTTGATGTCAGTCAATGGGGCTTGAACTCTGGGCCTGGCCACCGCCCCTGAGCTTTCTCTCAAGGCTAGCGCTCTACCACTCTGAGCCACAGGGTCACTTCCGGTTTTCTGGTGGTTCACTGGAGATGAGAGTCTCACAGGCTTTCCCGTCCCGGCTGGCTTGAAAGCAGTGATCCTCAGATCTCAGCCTCCTGTGTAGCGAGGCTGACAGGCCTGGGCCACCCAGCTGGACGCTGTGTTCTGATCACCTGTTTGCAATCCTGCAAACAGTCCTTCTTTCCCCTCACCCCTGCCAGCGGTCTGCCCCTGACCCACCCAGCCCGTAGCAATGGGCCTGGAAGAGATCTTGGACCCCGGGATGAGGGGGGTACTGTCTTAAGGTTTTGTTAGGCACCCAGCTGAGGTTTTGAAGTTTGAGTAGGAGCCTGCTTGGGTGGAGCCTGAAGAAACCACCTACATAGAGCTGGGAAGGAAGGTGACGGCAGGAAAGGCTTCTGAGCAGGACTGGAGGGCTGGACCAGCTGGGGCTGGGGCTTGACTCCGGTCTTGAGCCCAGTGGAGTGGGCGCAGCAGCAGCGCAGGACATGGGTAGCAGATGAGGAGCCGCAGCCCCGTTTCTACCCATACTGGACGCCCAGGGAGTCTCCCCCCACCCCCTCACCCCGTCTCTGTCTCCCCAACACAGTACTACGAGATGTCCTATGGCTTGAACATCGAGATGCACAAACAGGTGAGCCCTGTTCCCTGTCCCTCCTCTTCCTGTCCCTCTCCCCAGGTGCGGAGGACCCCTGTAGCCAACTGTCAGCCCCTCAGTTGGTCCCAGCCCCGCACCCCTCCTCTCCTATCTGGTGCAGCGCTGTGGCCCTGCGGCTGTGCGGCTGGAGCTGGGATGCTCCCGTCCGCCCGCCCCGTGCGGGGCTGCACCTCCACTCTGGCTCGCAGGCCTCTTCCCCCCAGGCTTCCTCGTGCTGGGGAGAGGGGGCTCTCCCTGCGGGGGAGGGGAGGCCTTCACCGGGACTCCCCGCTCCCGCCTTAGTTTCCTGGTCGTGGGGGAGGGGAGGATGTTAGAAGTGTGGCCGTGCCCTCCTCTGCCCTGTGGCCTTGAGTCTGCCCTCCGCCCTGGCCAGGCCGTGCCCACCACGGGACGGTGCTCCTGACCCCCCCCTCTGCTCCCTGCGACCCCCGTGCCCCTGCGACCCCGTGCCCCTGCGACCCCCGTGCCTCTGCGACCCCCGTGCCCCTGCGACCCCCGTGCCCCTGCGACCCCCGTGCCCCTGCGACCCCCGTGCCCCTGCGACCCCCTTGCCTCTGTGTTCCAGGCCGAGATCGTGAAGCGGCTGAACGGCATCTGCGCCCAGGTCCTCCCCTACCTGTCTCAGGAGGTGAGCAGCGCGCCTGCGCCAGCCCCGCCCCTCCCACTTGGCCTTTCCTTTGAGAGGGAGCTTCCTGGTAGCCAAGGCAATAAAGGGAGATGGGTGGCTCCCGGGAAGGTAGCCGTTCAGAGAGGACTGTGCCAAGCGTGGATGGGCGCCCCTGCCCGCCGGGCGGGTGTGGGGGCGCCCCACAGGGTCCCCTTTCCTTTCTTCCCCTCCTTTCCGCACGCCAGCACCAGCAGCAGGTTCTGGGAGCCATCGAGAGGGCCAAGCAGGTCACCGCGCCGGAGCTGAACTCCATTATCCGAGTAGGTGCCGGGCGGCGGGGGGGGGGGGGGGGGGGGGGGGGGGTGCCGGCGGGGGCTCTGGCGGGGGGGGGGGGGTGCCGGCGGGGGCTCTGGCGGGGGGGGCTCTGGCGGGGGCTCTGGCGGGGGGGGGGGGGTGCCCGTGGGGGGCTCTGGCGGGGGTGCCCGCGGGGGCTCTGGCGGGGGCTCTGGCGGGGGCTCTGGCGGGGGGGGGGGTGCCCGCGGGGGCTCTGGCGGGGGCTCTGGCGGGGGCTCTGGCGGGGGCTCTGGCGGGGGCTCTGGCGGGGGGGGGGTGCCCGCGGGGGCTCTGGCGGGGGGGGTGCCCGCGGGGGCTCTGGCGGGGGGGGGTGCCCGCGGGGGCTCTGGCGGGGGGGGTGCCCGCGGGGCTCTGGCGGCCGCTGACCCCCCCCCCCCCCCCCGCCTCCGAGCAGCAGCAGCTGCAGGCGCACCAGCTCTCGCAGCTGCAGGCGCTGGCGCTGCCGCTGGCGCCGCTGCCCGTGGGGCTGCAGCCGCCGGCGCTGCCGGCCGTGGGCGCGGGCTCGGGGCTGCTGTCGCTGTCGGCGCTGGGCTCGCAGGCGCACCTGTCCAAGGAGGACAAGAACGGCCACGACGGCGACGCGCACACCCGACGACGACGGCGACAAGTCCGACTAGCGGGGCGGGGCGCGGGGGGCGCCGGGACGCCCGCGGGGGCACCGAGGAGGCCCCCCCCCACTCGGCTGGGGAGGCGAAGCCCAGGGGCAGAGGTGGGGTCCAGGGACCCGGCACCCCGCAGCCCACACTCCCACCGCCGGCACCGTGGGGGTCGCCCCAGGGCGCCCCACCCCAGGCCCTGCATGGAAGCCGCGGAGCTGCCCCCCCCCGACCCCCCCCCCCCGCACCCCCCCCCTCTGCCAGCTTCTGACGCAGCGCCCCTCCCCCTGCCCCCCCAAAACAAAAGGGATGGGGGGCCGCCCAGCCCCGCGCCCCTGCCCCCTCCCCAATAAAATGAGGGTTCTGAAGGTCTTGGTTTCGTTGGTGGTTTTTCTCTTCTCCGTGTCCCGCACTCGCCACCCCGCCCCGCCACCAGCCGGCCTCGCCCGGACACGCTGTCTTGTTTTCTTTTGAAGTGAACCCCACAAGCCCCCCAGTCTCCCCCGTACCTGTCCTGGAGTTGTGCGTCTCATCGCTGCCACGTGAAAGTCTGTACTGACGGCGGGCTTCGCTGTGCCTTGCAAATAAACATCCCGAAGGTTGGCCTCTGTGTGCGTCTGTTGAGGGGACCCCCCTTCCCAGGGTGGGGGGCTCCCGCTGCCCGGCATCCTCCAGGACACAGCACCGCCCCCCCCAGGCTTCAGCGTGTTGTCTCCTTTGCCTTTGATACCTCACCCAGAGAAGGTGCTCTGGAGACGGGGTCGGTCACACAGCACCAAGTTCAGCCAGACTTTTTCTTGCCTTTTTTTGGTGGGTCGTGGGGCCTGAACTCTGGGCCTGGGCGCTGTCCCTCAGCTCTTCAGCTCAAGGCAAGCGTTCTACCACTTCAGCCACAGCGCCACTTCTGGTTTTCTGGTGGTTTATTGGAGATAGGAGTCTCACGGTCTCTCCTACCCGGGCTGGCTTTGAACCGCGATCCTCCTGCGTAGTAGCTAAAGATTTCGGGCGTGAGCCACCAGTTCCTGGCTTTTTGTTATTTGCTGGTTAATTAGCTGGAGATGATGGAGTCTTCAGAACTGTCCTGTCCACACTGGCTTCCAACCTCAGTCCTCCAGATCTCAGCCTCCTGAGTCACAAGGATTACCAATGTGTGTAAGAGACCCGGCCTCCAGACCTGGCCTCCAAAAACAGCCCAGGCTGACACATGCAGCAGCCTCCCCGGTGCTGGGATTACAGATGTGCGCAGCCACACCTGGCTCTGTGATCATTTTTAGAGACAACTCCTGCATCTGTTTCTCCTAAGGGCACAGCCTCCCTTCGATTCATTCCAGCGGCCCACCCTGGAGGGAGCCCCAGAACACCCCTGTGGGAACACCTCTGCCTCCAGGGCCTGGGCCACTGGACCTGAGGCTGCCCATCCGGGAAACAGGCAAGGGGTGCAGGGCCTAGAAGCCCCTGCCATGGTGGTTGAGCATCAGACTGGACTGAGACCTGGGGGGCATGCGCCCCCCCCCACCGCAGCCCAAACGCATGAACCGCATGGGAAGCCCAATGAACCACCGGAAAACTGGAAGTGGCGCTGTAGCTCAAGTGGTAGAGCGCTCACCTTGAGCTGAAGAGCTGAGGGACAGCGCCCAGGCCCAGAGTTCAAGGCCAACCAAAATAAGCAGCAGCTGAGCCGCTGTGTGTGAGGCCCTGGGTCCCATCCCCAGCACAGGTCAAGATGGCCGTGTGGCCTGGCCCTGCGGGTCAGGGTCCGGCTCTGACCAGCTGTCATCATGACCAGCTGATTCCATCAGGAAGAAGCTGCTCATGTTCTAATAATCCACATGCTCTGCAAATTGCTCATCCATCTTTTGTCCCGTCCAGTCTGAGCCCTTGGCCTGGGCGCAGTCCCTCGGATTTTCCCCTCAAGGCTGACGCTCCACCACTTGAACCGCGGCGCCACTTTGGCTTTTTGGTGGTTCAATGGAGATGAGAGTCACAGGGCTTCCCTGCCCAGGCTGGCTTCCAGCCGTGATCCTCAGACCTCAGCCCCTGCGCATGGAGCTGGGGTGACAGTGTGCGCCCTGGCCCCTGCACAGCCCCGCTGGGCCGAGACCTGCCCAGCGCCTCCCTGGCCAGCCTGGGTTCGAATCCTGGCTCTGCTTTGCACGCGTGCGTCATGGCGGGGCGTGGGGAGGGCACCAAGGACGCCCCTCTGTGGGGCTCTGACCCCTGCAGACCCCTGCCCCTTCCCCCCTGCCCCTCCTGCCCCTCCTGCCCCCCTCTGCCCTCCCCCCCAGCCCAGCAGTCCCTGCAGGGACAGCGGCTAATTGATGCGCTAATGAGCCCCGTGGTGCAGCCTAATGAGGCGGTGGGAGGAGGGGAGGGGAGGGCAGGGAGGAGGGGGAAGGCCTGGGAGGGGGGAGGGGGAAGGAGATCTGGGAGGGGGAGGGTAGGGGCCTGGGAGAGGGGAAGGGGGAGGCCTGGGAGGGGGGAGGGCTGAGGGGGAGACCTGGGAGAGGGGAGGGCTGGGAGGGGAAGGGCTGGGGGGGATGGTCTGGGAGGGGGGAGGGGAAAGGCCTGGGAGGGGGAGGGCTGGAGGAAGAGCTGGGAGGGGGATAGAGGGGAGCTGGGCTGGGGGGGAGGGGCAACTGCCCCCTTCCCTGGGTCCCACCGGGACTGGCAGAGGGGAGGGCACATCGGGGCCCCGCCCACGCCTCCTCCGACCCTGCCCACTCCCTGGACCCCGCCCCAGCTCCCGCCCCAGGCCGCTCACCCCACACCCTCAGGGGCTGCCTCAGGGCGTCCAGGCCCACAGCCCTTCCCTCCCCACGTGGGCAGCACAGCCTCAGCTGGGGGGCCACCCTCTGCTCAGGGGCTGCTGTCCTCCTGTGGCCTCCTAGACAAACTGGGGCGTCCAGGCCAATCTCGAGAAAGAAGAATAGCCAGCCGGCCGCCGTTGGCTGGGCATGGCCGCTTGGGCCCCGCTGTGATTAGTAATGATTTATTATGACATTATGAGCGGAAGCTCAGAGATGCCACACAACTTGTGAAAGGTCACACAGCCTCACCGTCGGTCGCCGTCGGGATCCAATGAAGATAAGACCAGTCGGTGTACAAGAACAGGAGGAGCTTGTGTACCCAGTGATGGACGGAAGAGGGAGGACTTGAAGGTCAGGGGGACCCACCAGGGTCTGGCAAGCCAGCCAAACAGGGGTGAGGATGGGGCGCCCTGCCCTGCCTTTCTCTTGGCGTCTTTGTTCCTGACTGTGACCCGTGACCCGGTGTGGACCAGGCCTTCTGGCTGGAACACACTGTTCCTGCAGCCCGCGCTCCTCCCCGCCAGCCCATCCTGCAGTCTTTTATCTCTCCCATGGTGCCTCTTTCTGCACCAAACAGTCAAACATTCATTGCTTTGAGCTCCCCCGTGGCTCACGCCTGTCGATCCTAGCCACTCAGGAGGCTGAGAGCTGAGGATCGCGGTTCAAAGCCAGCCCGGGAAGGAAAGTCCGTGAGACTCTGATCTCCAACGAACCACCAGAAAACTGGAAATGGCGCTGTGGCTCAAGTGGTAGAGCGCTCGCCTTGAGCTGAAGAGCTGAGGGACAGCGCCCAGGCCAGAGTTCAAGCCCCAGGACTGGCACACGCACACGCACACACGCACGCACACACAGTGCCTGACTATTGACTGGCTGGCAGGGCAGCTCGCGCTCTCTTATAGACCCGGCCTTTCCCTTCTCTCTCCTCCCTCCGCCCTTCATTGAAGGGCTGTTTCTCCCCGGTCTGTCGGCTCCCCCCTCCCCTGCTCCTCCCTCCCCTCCCCTCCCACCCCTAGGCCTCCCTGGGCCACGTTTGCTGGCTGGCTGCCAGGCCAGATTGTGCCCTTGAACTTGGCCCATTGCCTCCTCCTCCTCCTCCTTCCAGCCTCTCCCATCTCCTCTCTGCCCTGTGCCTCCGCCCCCTCAGTACCCATCACCCCCCATTCCCTCCTCCCTCCTCCCCGCCCAGCATCCAGCTCGGCTCCTCTCCTCTGTCCTGCCTGGGCCTGTTGGGTAACTCAGTGGGCGGGCATCCTCGTGGGGAATGGCCGGCTCCCCAGCTGTGGCTTGGGAGAAGTGGGTGGGTGACTTGGCACTGGGCCTGGGATGTGGCCAGAGCGGCTTTTGAACCACAGCCACAAAGCCACCACCCCCAGGACTTTGCTGTGTGACCCCAGGCAGCTCGCTAGGTGTCTCTGGGCCTGGAAAAGATTTGCCTAGCTACTGGACCTACCTGCAGGAGGTGGGGGGGCAAAGGCTCAATATTTTATTATCAGGCTGCTGTGTGTCAGGCTAGAGTTAGGTACCAGGGACCTCCCCCCCTTTTCCCTTCAACCCATTGACCTTTGGAGAGAGAAACAAGAAAAATTAATATAGCAAACACCAGCTCGCAGCAGTCATTCTAAGCTACTCAGGAGGCTGAGGTCTGAGGATTATGGTTCAAAGCCAGCCCGGGCAGAACAGACTGGGAGAGTCTTGCCTCCAATTAACCACTAAAAAGGCAGGAAGTGGAGCTGTGGCTCAAGTGGTAAGACAGCAACTTTGAGTGAAAACGCCAGTGAGAGAGTGAGACCCTAATTCTAGTCACACACACACACACACACACACACACACACACCAAACAACCAAAAAAGTCTGCGCAGAGGGATTAGCATGTGTGCAAAGGCCCTGGGGTTAGACCTAGACCAAGGCTAGACAGTAGAGTGTTCTGGGATGTCACTGAGCAGGAGAAGAATGGGATCTGGTTCACATCATTTTAGTGGATGAGCAAAGATGTGGGAAGAGCCGAGGTGTGTCTGCGCACACCTGTAATCCCAGCAGTCTAGGACCCCCGTCTGAGGCCCAGAGAGGTCAGAGGGAGACTCAAGGGGCTCCCCGCTATTGATCGGTTAGCAGGAATGGCTGTGAGCGTCTTTTCTGGGCCCTGATTTGGGCGAGAATTCTAGTGCCAGGCCTGTTTTCCAGGTGAGGAGACCCAGCTGTGTGAGCATGCTTGGCATCTGGTCCCTGGGCCCACGGGGAAGCCCTTTCTCTCTGCCCAGGTGCCCTGTTTCTGTCCAACTCGACACTGGTACCCCGACAATACTCAGGACTCCCCTCAGTTAGTGGCTGTGGGTTCCCACACCTGTGGATTTAGGACCAAAGTCAAGAGAGGCTTGGCCATTCATGTGTCCAAATCCTGCCCTCTCCTGCCATTCCCAGCCCAAGAATGCTCAGAGAC